TGTCAGAGGTGATTTGGACTCTTATCAGTGGCAGAGCTGCAGATCTACCGGAGGCTTAAGCTGACAGCCTTAATGGAACGGAGCAGCCAGTAATGGTCACCACTTCAGTTAGCATCGGAGGGCATTGTCTGAGTGTTGGTGGCATGATGAGTGACTGTATGCAGAGGCTGTCCTGGAAGTAGCCCCCCTCATTATGTCTGCCGTTGTCTGATTTGCATTGTGTGAGTCTGTCTCAGTTTGTCTTGAATGGAAGGTATTTGTCTTGTCATCTCCCTTTTGTTCTCTTAATTTAGTCTGTACCCCTGATAACTTGCTCAGGATTCTCTGTAAACATCTCAGAGGGGCAAAATTTGACTGTAGAGACGAAAATTACAACCATGATTTATCCTGAAAGGGACATGAATGTGTAACTGGTGAATGTTTGTGAACAATTTTGTGCCATTTCGGCTGGTAGATGTTGAGATATCTCACTGGAGAAGTTTTAAGGGAAGCCAAGCAATCGCTTTTCAAAGGAGGACTGGAGTTGTTTGCGCTCCATCAAGCGTTTTTTGAGAAATTCCAGATTGGTTCAAAGTAGTGAACTGAAGTCTGGCTAAATTCACATCATGCTGGTTTAAATAGTATTTTTGCCAGTTAATTTTTTTGAAGCAAAGTTCTTGTTGTAGCTGTGTCACAATGGAATATGGGGAAAATGCAACTCTATTCATCAATATAAGGTTTGTTTTTGGCATCAAGGGTTGGTGTTGGCACTTCTGTTGGTAAAATTTAGCTCCAGCCCTGCTGTTTTTACTGGCAAGATAGCAACTCTGAAATCTGTTTCTGGAAGAAGATTCAGATGTTTGGAAGGAGAAAGAATCGAGGACACTGGCATTAATATTCTGCATGGTTTTTTTGTTGTTTTTTTTTTGCTTCTGTCACATTTTTCCTCACTGTAGGCTCATTTTGCACTGCAGTATAAAATCATGCACCTCTATGGAAACAACACAACCATGATTAGAAGTACAGAAACCGTAGTATAGCCAAGTTATAATGCCACAGATTAAATTACCCACAAATATAACCAAAATTCATAAAGAAATGGTGACTCTACATTGTATAGATGACGTGGCTTGCCTCCTATCTGCTCTACAGAAACACAGCCTGCAGTTCAGCCAAAAAGTCCCTGAATTTTTGTCATGTGCAGAATTTTTTGGGTTTTACAGAACCCGGTTATCATTAATAGTTAATTTTTAATGAATTTTGAAACAAGACATGCAGAAGAAAGTGATTTGTTTCATTTTCCTGATAGAATAGCACATCACAAATGAGTAGTTCAAGGACTGTTGGGAAGTTGAAAATCTGATAATTTTTCTGTTTTTGAATTTTCTTGGTCTAATAAATGGTGTAATTTTGGTGATTTTGGCAAAAGTTGATGGTGGTTTCTGAATAATGGAAAATGTTGCTAAAACATTTTGTGAACAAACCTAGCTAAAGTCCAAGAACTAATCTGTCATTTACAGTGTAATTGTGTGATGTAACTGGTCTCCCAGCTCCCATGTGTTCATCCCTCCTGACAGAACAGTCATCTGGGGTCTCGTCCAGTCAGCAGCCTGATCCTGTCAACACGTCCAAATATTCTACTGTTTTTTTTTTTTTCCCCTGAATGAATTAGCTCTGTATCATGCAGACACAGACAGCCACAAATATATGCACATGCACAGCCACAGGCAGCAGTTTTTGGTTGTCAGGCTCCACAGATCATGGGTCATGTGTGTTTGTGCTTCAGTCCATGGCGCATAAAGTCACAACAGGAACAGATAAGACCCGTCCCAGGTTGGCTTTGGAAGTCAAATCCCCAGCAACCCCCCAGCGCTAATCGGATTAGCTGAAAAGTTAGCAGCACGGCCCCGAAGACACACAACATTTTTTACACTGACTTCTGTGACATATTTTGCTCTCCGGCCTCTGTAATCTGCTTCTCGTCTCCAAAAGCCGTTTCACGTCATCTTTGTCTCGGTAAACAGCAACTTCAGTACAAGATGAACTGTTATTAACCTCAGCTTAAGATGGGAAATCATTTCTTGTTTTTTTTGAGGGTAGGGTGCGTGTGTGTATGTGTGTGTGTGTACGTGAGGAGGGGGATCTGGTCCACCCAGGTGGGGGAACAATGGCGTGCCCGTTGCCTTAAAGCAATGGTTGGCTGAGCACAGGCTGAGCAGGGAGGGACACGAGGAAAAAAATGAGTTGTGAAAATGATTGGAGGAGGAGGATGGGGGAGGATGGGGGAGTCGGGGAGGTGTGGGGGAGCAGCCGGCTGAATGGGGGCAGCAGGGTGGCAACTGGACTTCTAAAGCTCTTTTCATGCTTGGTCTGTTTCTACCAACGCTGAAAAACACACCGAAGTGTCGCTGTGGCTAATTGTTTTCTCTTTATTTTTGAAAACCATTAGTCAGAAACAAAAACTGGGATGTCCCTGGTTGTTCCCCCCTCAGTATGTGGCAGCATTAAACTGGCCTACATTCATTAATATCTGTGAACACAACTGGGGGAAAAAAATGAACACAGTAAAGCTTGACCCACAACTATGTTTTGTTTCCCTCTTAGTGTCTTGTAATGTGGTTTGTATTCTGTAGTGTTAATTGGTGGAAAATCCTGATTGAGGACGTCCTGACTATAAATATTCCACTTACTTTTTCCTCCATTACATTTATTTCACACCTGCACTGTAGTTACCACAGTCATTAGAGATCATCTTTTCAGGACAAAAGGCATCTTGTTAAGTGACTAACAACACTTTTTGTTGTTCAAGCAATAAACAAGAAAAATGGTGAATCAAAAAACATGTAAGTTTTTCAGAAAGAACTGATTTGCAGAGATATTCTGTGAGAAGTCATCTTGCCTTATAATTGCCAAACGCATTTGAAGTGAAATGTCGCGATAGTGAGTAAACTAGGCTGCATGGCGGTGTCAGAAGGTGGCGCTAGAGAGTACGTCACACATGGCTGTAATAAACCGAGCAGAAGGAGCCAGAAACAGTTGCAGTTGTGATAACATGTAAGAGAAGCAGACAAAACGAACAGAAGTACCGTATACAAAAGAGTTTGGGAGTTGTTTTTAAGTCGGTACAGCTGTAATTATTCTTTCTTGTCAGCTGGTAATTTTACATGTTTTATTCTGTTCCGAGATAAAGACGTAAGATATAGGCTGAATCAGCTGATCGTCGTGAAATAAATGTTTGCTGCGTCGGAAGTTACTACGAAAGGGTGTTCCTATCTCCCATTATGCACGTTATGTGGTTTATGAAAAAGTCCAAAATGATCTCAATTAACTGTAAAAACTTTGAATTGAAGGAAATTAAGGAAATTTTTAAAAACTTCTTGAAAGTAATGACTAACCCTCAGAACCCCAAAACCCACCAGCAGCTTGAAAGGTTATCTTTAGTAAATTACACCATTTATCAGAGCCAGAAAAGGTAAAAATGCACATAAACAAATATTGGATTTCCAAGTTTCCAACTGTCCTCAAACTACTCTTTTATGTCATGCTGTTTCTTCCAAAAACTTTCAAATCTAAGCTTAAAATCATGATATAAAATGAAATTAAACCATTTGCTCAAACGTGATTTTGCAAAATATCTCAGTAGAACGGTGAAGCCTGAAGTGATTCAGCAGCTCAGGGACTTTTCATCTGAAGTGCAGGCAGTGTTTACAGAGTAGAGAAGGGCCAAGTTCAGAATGTAAACAGGAAAATGTCTAGAATATGTAGAGTCAATATGTTTTTTCAGGAGTAGTAGTAACACCTGTGGGCTCTTGAAAAAATATTGTACAGACTGATTCCAGGTTTTGTAAAAATAAATAAATAAATAAAGAGCTTCAACTTCAATTTTTTCATTCTTATTATGCCACAGTTTTCAGCTCTCTCTCTTTCTAGTCATGTTTGTGCTGTTTCCATAGAGGTGCAGGATTTTATATTGCAGTGAAAAATGAGCTCACAGTGAGATAAAAATGTGACTGGAGCAAAAACACGCAGAATGTTAACGCTGAGCGTCCTCCATTGCTTCTCTATTCCATCTCTCCTTTGTGATGCAGAAACAGATTTCAGAGCTGCCATCTTGTAGTCATAACAGTGAGTAAAAATGTGAAACAAAAAAAAATTCCCAGAACTTGCTCAAGGTTCAAAATGTGTCTAAAAATACTAAACGGAAACTCAACTGTTGACGGAGGAGACGGCAGCTTCTTTAGTTTACTGTTATTGTATTTGTGACTAAAGATTTCTAGAAGCTAATGTAGGAAATGAATCAAGCGTAAACTGGGTTGAAGAAAAGAGGTTAAACTGACCTAATCATGACGGGGTAAAGTGACTGGAGTGACACCTGACAGTGGGGGAGGAAGGGAGGGATGGGGGAGGAACAACTCCAAACCAGATTAAAAGAGAAAATAGTCTCTCTTTTTTTGTGCCATCCTTGTTTTCCTTTGTCGCCGTTTTGAACGGGCCCCTCCAGCGCCGCCGCCAAGTCCAACATGGCTGAAATCACTCTTGGCTCCCAGAATCAGCGGCCCAATGTCAGACTGGCTGAACTTCTCCTGCTTGCATTCCCCCATGGATGCCTGGGGAACTGGCGCTCTGGCCAAGATGTGGTTTTGTGGTTACAGTCAGCCAGGCAGAAGGGAGATGAAAACGATGCCATGTGCACAAGAAGCCTTTTCTTCTTTGTTCGGGTAACATGGCAGCCTGGCGGAGGGCCGGTCTGGGAGGACACTCAGTCATCCAGCAAACACAATGAGTACAGAATTAGATTAAGGTCAGAATTACAGCTGGGTGTAGGTATGGAGGAACAAAGCCACGGTGAAAAGCTAATTTCATCAGTTTAATATCGTGTGGCTCCTGAATAATGTGGCATCACCGTGCAGCTCCAGCATGAAGCACCCAGTTGATTTATGTGCATCTCTGTGTGTTTCCAGTTTGGGCCAAGGTGGAGCTGACTATGCATGAGAGCGCTGAGGTGTACCTGGGCGACGTGGCTGAGATCCCCTGCCAGTACAGCTTCACCGACGCCGACAACGAGCCCAGCTTTGTCATGATCCAGTGGTTTGTGGTGAGTGCTGCCGGAGCGACAGCCAGAACGGACAGTGTCTGTCTGGGACTGTCCAGCTGCTCATGTATGAAGCTGCTGACGCTCCGTTTCTGGTTGACTTTTTATTAGTTGTATCACTGTCCCCAGAAAAAAAATCAATAAAAGAAATAAGTAAGAAATAGCAGAGAGTTTTTATAAACCAACTCAAGACCAGCCTTTTCACTCAGGCTTTGGATTGATTTGATTGAATTTCTTAATATATTACAAATTTTAGAACTCATTTTGTTTGATTTATTTACTAATTTAAATATTATAGCCGATTACTTCATTTTTTATTATTTTCCTCTTTTTTTTATGAACTTTAAATTATGTTATGTCCTTTATTTATCTTCATTTTATTGGATTAATTTTTATTCTAAGTTTTATTTCATCTGGTGTTACCTCATTTTGTTATCATATTATATTATATTTTCCATCCATTATCTATACACCGCTTAATCCTCACTAGGGTCGCGGGGGGGCTGGGCCCTATCCCAGCCGACTTAGGGCGAAGGCAGGGGACACCCTGGACATGTCACCAGTCTATCACAGGGCCACACTTAGAGACAGAAAACCAAGCACACTCACATTCAGACCTACGGACAATTTAGAATCACCAATTAACCTCAACATGTTTTTGGACTGTGGGAGGAAACCGGAGAACCCGGAGAGAACCCACGCTGCATGGGGAGAACATGGAGACTCCACACAGAAAGATTCCGGTGCCCCCACTGGGACGCAAACCGGCAACCTTCTTGCTGCGAGGCAACAGTGCTATCAACTGCGCCACCCTGCAGCCCATATCATATCATATCATATCATATCATATCATATCATATCATATCATATCATATAATATTTGTTCGTAATAAGACAGTGTATCCTCAGTTCCTTTCTTACAGCACAATGTTGTAGGTTTTGTTTTGTTGAATTTTCATTCCTTTTATTCATTTACTGATTGTCAGTATTTAAAATGTGGGTCAATCCATTTCAAATCATCAAATTTTTAGAACAGTTTCTACTTAACCATCTCTGATTTGTCTGAATCAAAATATGGATATTTATAAAGACATTTGTACATTTTTAGCTTCATATGTTGAATAATTTCTGAAATACATGTTTTTAAAAATTACGCGTCAATCTGCTTTTAGTACATTTTTTCCTCACATTGAAATTTAAGGCTGAATTTGGATGACAATATCTCAGGAGCTTTCAAACTTATGTACATACTCTTATCTTTATAAAATACACAATTTTCCCTGTTGTTTTTCATCATATCATTGATTATAGTTGACTTGAAATATGAAAACTATGGTGAAGCTGTCATCTTTAAGCAGGTTCTGAACCAATGTAGTGATGAGACATAACAGTGAAGATGTCAAACTTTTGTCTTTAATGCTTTCCCGAGTAAGTATTTGATATATTAAGCTAAAATTTCTCAGATACCATTTAAAAAAACAGTTTGTGATGAAGTTTGGAGCACATCTAAGGCTGTCGAGCAGAAGGAACCTGAACCTTTAAGATAGAAAAAAGAGGATAAAATTATGCAGGACAACAATAACTGTAATGAGCTCAACACATTATAGATGATGTTGCTTTTCCTCTATTCGTGCCCAGAAATGATTTCTTGAAGTGCCCTGTTTGCAAATGAACACAATCTTTTTATCGTTTCTAGCTTTTGATTGCACTGACCAGTGACTAACAGCCTGTAATGACAGCCTAGCAGCTAAACATCTCCACTGATTTACCTCTAAAACACTGTTTATCCAAGACTGACTGACAGCCGTGTCCTCCGCAGAGAGAGTTGGGAAACGCCTCTCGGGTGCGGATCTTCTACAGCGACGACCGCCAGCAGATGGTTGATAACAACACTGACTACAGCGGTCGCATCGAGGTGACTTCAGACCAGCTGGGATCTCGACTCGTAATCCAGGACGTTGTGCTCAAGGATGAAAAGGAATTCATCTGCCAGGTGAACGGACTCGCTGCCGGGAGCGCTGAGGGAAAGACCCACCTCCGAGTGTTTGGTAAGGAAGCCCACAAAACAGACAAATCGTCACCGAAACAAAGATTTTAAGTCTTAAAAATGCCTTTAACCCTCTGAATGCTAAGCAGTTTCTGGGCATTTCTTTGCTTCTGTCACATTTTTCCTCACTGTGGGCTCATTTTTCACTGCACTATAAAGTCCTGCACCTCTATGTAAACAACACAGCCATGACTAGAAGGAAAGAGAACTCAAATATGTCTTCTATGCAGCATAACAAGTGTCCACAGTTGTTCCTAATACTGGAAGAAATAGCAGCTGTACATACTATAGATATTTAACTACTTGATCCGTGTAAACACAGCCTGCAGTTCAGCTACAAAGTCCCTGAAATTTTGTCACTTGACTGTTGGTCACAGCTGAGTCACTGATGGCTTTTTAGTAGACATAGACCACAGATTTTTTGTTTTTGTTTTTATAGAACATAAAACGAGGAGTTTATTTTGGTGATTTCTTAAATGAGAGATGGAAAATAAAGTGATTTTGATGAAATAGGATTTCACGTTTTCCTAATGAAACCAAATATCACACACGATCAGTTCAAATACCATCAGAAAGACGTAAATCTGATCATTTATTACATCAAAAAATAAAAAAGCCATTTTAAACTGCCGACAGGTGTAGAGATTTATTTCAAGGTGATTTTTTAAAATAAAATACAAAGAATAAAGTGACTTCGATGAAATTATAGGATTTTAAGCTTAGAATTGGTTAATTCTCCTGATAAAACCAAAAGTCACACATGATAAGTCAAAAGACTGTCAGACAGATGAAAATCTGTTGATTTATTTTGTTTTATTCAGTTTAAGCTGTGATAGATTGTGTAATTTAGGTGTTTAAAAAAAAAAGAAAAGATTTACTTTTTAATCGTGCTAACAGGTGTCGGGGTTCAGAGGGTTAACATATATCTTTGTTCTATGACTTAGTTATTATGAAGGTGTGAATTTATTTATTTTTTTTTTCTAATTCAGCTCCTCCAGAGGCTCCAGTGATCGAGGGTGTAACTACTGGGATATCTGTGACCAACGAGATGCCGTCTAAGGTGGGTGCATTTAATCCTAGAAATCAACATCAACAATTACAACAAATCTCAAGATGAGCACTTTAAGCGCACATTAGTTGCTTTACTACATAAAGATAATAAACATTTGTCTTTGTAACTCCCCGCTCAGGTTGCATCATGTGAGGCCCGAAATGGTTTCCCTAAACCCAACATCACCTGGTACAGGAACGGCATGCCTCTGATGTCTGCAGCTGGACGTAAGTGCAAACGGTAGTCGGACTCTGAAGGTCTGACATGCGCCTCTCCTCCTTTCTGAATTTGTGACCTTATCTGACCTTTCTGTCGATGATTTCCTGTCCAATATGATGTGTACTTGGTTGTTTCTTGATTCTGTTGTAGAGTTGCTTCAAATAAATACACAAATACTTATTCCCTTCTGCTTGATAAAAAAAAATGGAAGGAATTTAATTAAGTATTAAATGTTATATTGTTCAATATAAACGCTTCATTTACATGTATGTTTATTCATTTGGCACTTTGACACACGATCCACAAGGCTACAAGGGCATCATGCAACGTCTGTAGAAACGAATCCATAAAAAAATATTTTTAGTTTAAGAGAGAGAGATGAAGACTGAGAGAACAAGTGAAGGAGGGAATATTAGGAGTGTTCAAGAGATTGTTGAAGGCAGAACAAAGGAATCACAGTGGAGGAGAGCAGTAACTTCACTAAGTGCAGCTGCTGACCGCATGTGTTCAGTTTGTTGGTGTCTCCCGTTAAATATCTGCCTCCTCGTCTCATCTCTGCTCCAGACGTGAACGTGCTGATGCTGGTCGTTCAAGAGTCCGGCAGGTTCTCGGTCCAGAGCACTCTGCAATACAAGGTGGTGAAGGAGGACAAAGACGCTCATTTCTCCTGTGAGGTCAGCTTCTTCGTTCCCGGAGCCATCAGGACGACCGAGTCGCACAGCGTCAACATCACTGTTCACTGTGAGTCAACGCCCTTCATATAATCCTGTCGTGTTGGCCTCTGATACAGTAGTAAACAAATCAGTTCTTTATAAGAGTGGAGGTGAAATAATGAATCCACGACTCCTCCATCTTCAGAGCTCGCTTATTTTAACTTGTTCAGTGTTTCCTTTGCTGCACTGTGAAAAAAATAAATTTTCTTTTTACTTGTGATTTTTTTTAAAAAATGTAGTATTATTTTACAAATATTCCCTGTTTTGTTATATTAAAGATAATAAACTAGTAAAATCCCAGAATAACAGTGTTAATCTACATTTTAACCCTAAAAAGAAGGCCAGAACTAGGCATCATTTTATCTAATTGAAGTTTTTTCTTTTACAATGCGTGACTATAAAATTGCACATTTTTTACTGTATTTAATTTAGCAAAAAAAAAAAAAAAGTATATATATATTAGATAAATTAAAAAACAATATGGATCTTAAAAATATAATTAAATTAAGCTTTTATGTACAGATTGACCCTGCTTTGTCATATTACAGATATTAAACTAATCAAATCACAGAAAAAAATAATGTGTTCTTTTCCCACATGTGACTGTAAAATTAAACTGCTTTACTGAATGTGAGTCGGGTAAAAATATCATTATGTTTGTAGATAATTACTGTTCATTTAAAGAAAAATTATGTGTATTAAAATTTTAAAAATGGCAAATATTTCTTTTTACTGTTGAACAGATTTTTCCAATTTTGTTAAAATACAGATAATATTGAGTAAAATCACAGAAAACAAGTATTAATTTGTTGACTCACAAAAAACAACAAATAGTAATTTGTCCTTTTGTTTTTTGTGTAATTCAATCAGCAAGAAAAATTCTTATTTTTACAGATATTTACTGTTATTTAAAAGAAAAATATATGTACATAACAGATTAAAAAATGGTAAATATCTCTTTAATTACACAGCTTTTCTGTATGTAAATCGGGTAAAAATGTCATTGTTTACAGATATTTGCCGTTATTTTCACAGTTTTTCCACCAAATATTGCTTTACTCTGTGTGAGGCTGAGCGAATGCATAAAGTCACCGCTGAGAAACTTAGTAACGGATCATTTTCACTTTCTTCTCTTTGTGCTTGTCACTTTCTGTTTGCTGTTAAGGTTTAAGAGGTGAGAGGAGGGTTTAAGAGGATTTTTTATTTGCCTCTGTGCCTCCTGGGTTCAGACAGATTTTCTGCCAGTTCTCCCATAAAAACAGATCAAATCACGCTTAATTGGGAGTGACATGTTTACTGACAGTGCAGTGAAGGAACAACATCATCTGAAAATCAAGGAAACGTTTCTCTCTCATCCTGAAATGTGCTAATTTGCTGGCTGTTTTGCAAATTCCTCGTGGTTTTGCATGATAAATCATAGATAATGTGCTATAATAGGTCAAGGCTGCATTAGAATTTTTCTTCCTAGCCTGCAGCTTTAACAGCAATGTAATTTGTGTATTTCTGTAGTGTAGCGAGTTTCAGAGCAGCATATTGTGCTTTTACCTTGTTAACATATTAGAAATACACATGTTAAATTTAAAGTTTGTCTCTAAATGTAAAATCATTAATGCCGTGTACTGAACTTCCTCTTTTCCTGCCCAACATCTGTTGTTTTATCCCTTCCATGGTTGACGATCATAAATGTTGTAACTGAATCTCATCCTTTCCTATTTGACCCACTGATTGCATCCACTGGAAGCAGTTTGTTTTTCTAATGGATGTACCAGATGCTAATGTGGTCCGAGTTGCACGCTGTGAGTGGAATATTCATTAGACTCCCACATCAGGAACTCCACCAACACATCCAGAGCAGAGCTGCTGATAACTGGATGTAAAACTTGAGAACACACAGTGCTGCTTAGAGGTTCAAGGTTCACATTTTTCAGTCTGCAGTCGAAGATGCTTTTGGTCTTTTTGCTGCTGATGTGCTGACCTCAGACTGGAGGCCAACGTTTTGTACATTCTGTTTCCTCATGGCTAGTTTCCATGTTGTTTTTCAAAGAGCCACTCAACCAGTTTTACACATAAAGTGGATTTATTCCTCATGAGGAAGAAGTTGTATAAAGTCTTTTTAAGCTCTAGAGAAAGGCTGCATATAGCAAAAAAACCCAAAACTTTTTAATATTTTGTATCTTTCGCAACATGAAAAAAATAGAGGAATTTAGAAAAAAAAACTAATTTAGAAAGAATTCTTTACTTTCTAATCATTGTGGTGATGTTGTAAGGGAGTGCGTGCACATTTAAAATAAAAAAATGTTCCAAAAAGCTGCCTGCAAAATAGACTTTTTTGCTTTGGATGACATTCAGATCTGCATATGCACTCGTCCAACAGCGCTTTGTGGTGCTAATCTAAAATAACATAATCAAACAAATTAGTAGCTGCATCAAACATCCATCATTCTTTCAGTAGCTATAACATTTTTTTTTTTGCAGCTATCATTGTGTTTCTTTTTGCAATCAGATCTTTCTTTTTCAGTACTTCTGTCCAGTTTCTTGCTCACTTTGCTGTGCACATCTGCAGCCTGCATGTCAATAAACTGTCTGTAAAATTTTGTGATAAATCCAAAAAACCCTTAAATCAGAGTAAATAAGATCTTTATTGATCTCTCATTGGAGAAATTCACAGGTTACAGCAGCTACATACAAATAAAGCATCATAAACGATAAGCAAATAATATAAAAGTAGGAAAAAGATTCAAAAATAAAGTGAATAATAGATTATGTACACATTTCATTTGTACAAATATGGAATCTGCTGTTCTATCAGACTTTTCTTGTAGATTAATCATTGCAAAAGAGAACTATGCAAGTTTTCTTCTTGTATCAAGCAGCAAAAAGTTTATAGAATAAAAAGTTTGAGTTAATTTGATTTGCTGCACGTGTAGCAGTGGTAACGCTGAAATGACTTTGTGCAGCTTGGCTTTAAAAGTCAGAAAAAAATAACTCTGACTTAAAAATGATTTATAAATTTTAAGCAACTGCAGCATTTAAGGAGCCGATTACATTTTTAAATCCGTCTCCAGGTGCCTCAACTCTAAGTACAAAAAGAAATCACTGGAAAACATCTTTGAATCTTCTTATTGTTGCAAAATGTCAACATCAACACAAACACAGTTTAAGTTCCCATCACAGCCTCATTATCTCGTCCCTCCGCTGCTGGTTCGCTGTTGTTGGGTGGTTTTGTGTTGACACTGTGGCAGTCAGAGCCAAACACAGTCTGTGCTGTCAGCGTTATGGAAATGTCCTTGTAAAGTGACTTTAACAGCTCGCTGAATGAGCCTGCTTAATTTGATTCTGTGTGTGTGCAGACCCCACCACCATGGTGGAGCTGTGGAAGGAGTCGCCCCAGGGCCTGGTCAAAGAGGGGGACACCGTGGAGCTGCGTTGCCAGGGCGACGGCAACCCCCCGCTGCCCTTCATTTTCAACAGAGAACAAGTAAGAATGGCCGCCCTTTTCTCACCCTAAAAGTCCCCCAGAGGGAGAAAGGGTGACACACGGGAGACATGTAGGGAATGTTTTTGATATGCAGAGCTCACAGGGCCCCATGTAGACATGAGTGTGCAGCATGTATGAGGACTCTGTCAGCTCGGAGCTGCACGTCCAGGCTGGAGTCTGAGACCGGAGACTCATTCCCATGTCGGACACACACTCATTGTGTGAGTGGACAAAACAAAGACCCAGATGATGCTTGTTCCATTCCTAACTGGGTGTCAAACCATCAGTTAGCCATTTTGTTAACCAGTTTTGCTGTACAGGACTACAAAGAAAAATAATTTAGATTCCTTTTGTTACATTGCAGGAAAATCTAGGTTTTAATTGAATATGTTTAACCATAATCCTGTTATATTTTTGTTATTACCTCAGTATCACTGAGCATTACTTTTTACTTTTATATTCTGGTATTATTTTAGCTCACAGTATTGTATCGCACTTATATATTTATTTCTTTTTTACTTTTAGGTACTGCATTTCATTTTTTTCCCTGAGCAGTACATGGCATGAGCTTAACTTAGCCGAGCTTCACTATAACTTTACTTAACTTAACTCAGCTTAGCTTAGCTTAGCTTACCTTAAACTCACTCAAAAGCTGTTGCAGAGTTTACAGCCTCTTCTTTATGTGAGTGTTTAAAAAAGATGAAACGGAGGCAAAAGAAATCTGTGCAAATTTGCGTCAAGTTCTGTTCTAGTGGACATGAAGTTTGGTTCCTGGTTTTGGTAGTAAAAAAGTCTTTTTGAGCTCTGGCGAAAGGCTACATGATAATGAAAAAAATAAATTACTGTGATATTTTGTTTTCCGTCAGTATCTTTTGCAACTTAAAAAAAAACTTTCCTAGAGTACTTAAATAACCCTATTAAAAAGGATCAATCTCTTTTGAATGATTGTAAGAAATAGAAACGTTATGAAGAAAAATGATTAATTCATTTTGTTACATTGCAGAAAATCTAGGTTTTAATTTAATATATTTAGCCACATGTAGCATATGTTTTATGATGTTTAACTCGCTCAAAATGCATTAAAATACTGAGACAGAGTCTGTGAGGCTCATTTCACTTTGTTACGTCAGCATTTAAAAAGATGAAACAGGGGCAAAATAAATCTGTGCAAATTTGCGTCAAGTTTAATAGTAGTGGACTTTCATGTTTGACTTTGTGTGAATTTCATGGCAGCTCCCTCCCGAGTTGACAAATTATTTTATTTTGTAAAATCAAAAAAGACTTAAAAACTGTAAACAGGAATGTTTTTTTTTCTTTTGAAGGATCCTCACTGCCTCTTTTGAAACTTTAATAATCCGAAAGGAAATTCTTTTGCCAGATATTGTTTAGAAAATAGAATTACACAGCCTGAGAAAATGCAATGGCAAGTAGACAAACAATAAGATCAAAGTACAATATATTACTGGAAATAAAAATAAGACTAGAATAGAAAAAGTAATAAATACTGACAGTTATTCTGAGGTGGTAAAGTAATATCACACATGATAATAAAATATTGCACAAATAAAACAGGGGCAACGGCAATCTGTGCAAATTTGCATAAAGTTCAACTTTGAGTTTGTGCCAGTTTCATCTCAATCCATCCAGTAGCATATTTCACTGTGAACAGTGAGGTGGGTGAAGCATGAAGACTGTTGTTGTGTTTTATTTATGTTTCCTGTGTTTTATGTGTCATTAATATATTCATCTCACTGCTGTAGAGCCAATTACCCCACTGGGGACAAGTAGAATTGATTGATTGATGTTTATGCCCATAAAGTATCAGAAGTCTGCTGTATGGATGAGCTTTTACTGAACACATTGACCATAGTTGTACACACTTTTACAGTGTAGTTAACAATAAAACTGACAATTTGTTGGGTTTTATTTTTGCTTTCTTTTTAGCTTACATTTTGTCAGACCATGTGTGTTTTTTGTTTTTTTTTGACCCAAATGCATTCAGACATAAGCGGTGGCTATTTTTGTACTCGTATTGAATGGATGAATTTAGGCACTAGTGGGGGAAAGTTGTCATTTTAAACTGGCAACCAGCTTTGAGTCTGCGTTTTTTTCTCAAAAGATGACATGATGCACTCGCGAGTGGATTAAATTATTGATATTTTTCCATCTACAAACTCTCTTTCTGTCACATAAAACTAAAGTCAGTCGTTTCAGTGTAAAACTAAAGTCTCTATCTGCTCATTTCCATTTCCTGTAAAAAATGTGACATTATATAGAACCGTGACTCTGGAAGCCACATCTGATTCAGTGACAAAGAACGAATGATGTTTTCTTCTACTACTTTCAAACTATCACAAAATGTGTTTGGATTGAAATTAAAGTACTAGTTTTCGTTTCAGGAGTTGGACGTGAACTTGGAGAGCAGTGGCGATGTGTTGATTCTTTCACCGGTGTCTCGTAAAGACAGCGGCATCTACCAGTGTCGTCCTCTGGACGCCGACGACTCCAGCGAGGTCAAAGGAGAAATGCAGCTCATCGTGCACTGTGAGGAACAAATCCACATGCACACCACATTTATAGACACACAGGGAAACAATTTTATACTTGAAATCCTCACGTGAAGGAGATTTGTTCATCTCTAACTGCAGAGACAAATAAGCTGCCGTTTCCCTGTTTGTATCATCATATTTTATTGAGAAGGTAGAATATAATAATCCTTTATTATCACAGCACAGCGTACAACGAAATTAAGCAGCAATCCTGTCATGACATTTTTTTTGGAGTACTCTAACAAATTTGCAAATATATTAAATATAAAAATTTAGCAGAAAAATGTAGAAGTGTAACCTGTAAAATAGTACTATGGTTTATTGCTGTAAGAAGAGCTCATTTGAGGCGGTAGTAACTATTTAAAACAGTGGAAGACACGTAGCACTTGTGGAAATTAAACATCACTGAACGTAAGCGAAAATTTAATGACTTAAAATAGGCCAAAAAGTTCAAACAAGGTTTGTTTGATAAAAACTCCACACTTACTCTAAGGCTACCTCAGTAAATTCAACATTCTACAGATGGTCTATATTTTTGGGGACTTTTGGTTTGACTTTGGCAATATTTCAGATTTGACAGGATCAAACAAGAGTCCAAATGTGCTGATTGAAGTCTAGGTTGTGATCAGAAACAAAAAGTTTCTGACTAAGTGCTTCATGTTTCATGTGCGTAGTTGAAATATGGTCAAGACAGTAACCAGGACTTGAGTTTCATCTGTGATAAGCTGAAAGAAATTAGAAATCATTCAGTCTTTAATGACAGCAAGTTAGTACGATTATACTTCAGAAAGTTCCCACCAGAAAATGTCACAGGATTGCTTGAAACATTTGAGTTGTTATCGACGGTAATATAAGAACTGGTTCATGTGCTGCTACAGCAAGCTCACAAAACAGACCAGTGAGTAACTGGAGAAACACACTGGAGAACTGCTGAGTGACATTGGGGATCACAACCTGCCCGTGAACACGCAGCAGGATCAACCACTGCATTTATTCCACCACTGTCTTGTTTTGTTGGCGTTTGTTGTGTTCAGACTTGGATCCAGCCGTTGTGGTACCCAAAGACTCCGAGGTCATGTTCAAAGGAGAAGATCTGACCGCATCCTGCAACGCTCTGTCGTCCCTCAAAACATCCACAGTCTGGTACAAGGTACTAAAAAAACACAACATCCTGCTTATTACCGTATCAGTAGGTCAGAGTCCAGATTTACTGAGTGGAATGATAAAGATGTGCAGTAGAAGGACATTCAGTTTGACTAGTATTTGGATATAAAGTACTGGACAAGATGTTATTGTAAATCTGCTTGAAGGAAACATAAATGTCAATAGTTGAAGAAACATTCCACTCAAAACCACAAAAATTCACCTGTGAAAGGACAGGCCTGTTGCCAACATGCTTGCTTCGACTCACAGCGTGTTTTTTGTGCAGGACGGGAAGCAGGTGGGTCAGGGGAACACGCTGCACCTGCAGGACGCCACCTACGAAACCAGCGGAGAGTACATCTGTGAGGTGACCGTGCCCGCCCTGCCTGCCCTGCACACCAGTGGCTCAGTCCACATCATCGTACAGGGTCAGTCATCTCCCGCTTCACTGCTGGAGCTTCTCTTTACTTCTGATGCACAATAGGGATCGACAGATATGGGCTTTTTGTTTGTTTTATGGCCAATACCAATGCTGATTAGTGGTAATCAGGAAGGGCTGATACCAGATATTTGGCACCAATATACATTAACTGTAATGTTTTAACAGCATGTGATAGCAGGAACCTGTCATTTATTAAGGATGACTTTCACTGAAAATGTAAAATATACATTTATGTGGGATGGACTGAGATCATCAGTTTGTCTGCAGTTACATCTGCTGTTGTCTATTTTCTTAAACTTTCACTGTTTTTTCACTTTTATTTCCCACTAAGGTCCACATCTTAAAGTATTATTAATTGTAGTTTTCCAGACTCTGTTTCAGGTTAATCTGTGGCTGCCTTCTAATTTAGCGGCTAGCTGTTCGCGTAGCCTTGGCCACTGTGAGAGCAGCTAATTTCCTGGTTTGTAGCAACGGCTTGTGTGTCTTCTTCAGTTTTTACAGTCTGCTTGAGACATTTCTGCGACCACAGAGTGACGACAGACAGAGAGAGGAGGCTGCATGCATGACCTGAAGTAGCACATTTAATTGATCAATAATCGGCCAATAAAAATATTTATACAGATAATCAGAAAAAGGCCAATAATCCATCCATCCCTGATGCAAAACAAAGCTTCTAGATAATAGACTTGTGCCTTCAACAGTTACATTTCTAGAATCACATCCACTTGAAAGAAACAAGTAAATAAAACATGAAAAAAAGCAGCAGAAAACTGAGACGGAGAAATTATTAGAAGAGATGCGATTAAAAAACTAAAGAAAGCGGCTTTTTCTAGTCTTGAGGTTCTTCACGAATTTGATATTTGTCAAACATATTGATTCCTCTGCTTTGCGCCTGCTGGTTCTCCGGTATGTGAACATGTTTTTGTTGTAGGTCCCATCCTCACTCATGAATAGCTTCTCTATTTCTGCATTAAGCTCTAATTTAAACCAATTACAGTGAATCAGTCAGGTGATGGATTTTATCCTAAAGAAGACACTGAGCTGTTTCTTAGAACTTGAAATAAAGGAAGTGATTGTACTGGAGCTGTGAGAAAGGAAAGAGGAACACTGTGCTCTTTTAGTTTGAAACATCTGGGCAGAAACTTGTCGAGTTTCAATGACAGGAGCTAAACATGGAAGAAAAAACAGCTGAGTGGAGTTAATCTGTGAGTAGAAGCACTGTGACATGGTTCCAGTGTTAAATAGTGTTTCTCTGTACTGGATCGTACTAAACTCATGAAGACAACGGCTAAATTGGAGTAAATTAAAACAGAAGCAGATGAGAAAACAAGCTCGTTACTAAAATGTGATGAACTGTATTTCTTCAGGTGGTCCTCAGCTGGTGGGCCTGGAGCAGGAGGTGCAGCTGGAGGAGGCGGCCGGCAGGATGGTGAACCTGAGCTGCGAGGCTCAGGGACATCCGCTGCCCAGCATCTCCTGGAACATCATCGGCAGCCAGGTGACTCTCAGGGTTCACAGCAGGAGGTTCAGCTCCTCCTGCAAAGCTCATGTGCTTTGTTTGTAGCTGAGATGTAAAAATGATGACGGCAACATTTTGAATTTAAGTCCAGCTATTGGTCAAACCGCTTCCAAACCAACGATATTTGGGTTCGTTATTGTAATTATTATAGTTCTTATGTATTCTGCTGCATATGTATGTATATGCAGTATATTGAACCTCGTTTTTTTTACATGGAACTGTTCTATTTCCATGTTCTGGATGATTATCATGATGATCGGTGCTGAAACCAGCTATTAAACAGGCCCCAAGGCTGTAATATTTAGCTCCAATGTGATCAGTTTTGCTGTTCACACTGGGAAAATTAAGAAAATAGATTTCCTGTTTATTATTGCTATTTATAAACACTATGATGCACATTTTAACTCAACAAGTCTCTAAAGCATCTTTGTTTTTCCCAGTCTGGAAAAGAATTCTGTCTTTTTTTTTTTGTTGCCAACAAGTCTTTTATATGCAAACGAGCAAGTTTATTTATTTATATAGTAGCTTATCGTGTACAGAGGTTATTCAAAGTGCGATACAGGCAGATTTGAAACAAAAATGAAATAAAATCAGAAACATTAAAGTATGTAAGAGATAAAGTGCACAATAAGATAGCAAATAATTACATTTAACGATTAAAAGTGCAGACAGGTTTATGCTGTATTTGAGGCAAATCTAACTTCCAAGTGGAGCTGGTGGTAGCAGCATAGTGACTAAACACCGTATGAGAGGTTTGTATTCAGCAAACATATCTGTCATGTATTTTGGACCCAGAACATTCAGTGACTTATAGACAATGAGTAGAACCTTACATTCAGTTCTGTATTGAACCAGAAGCGACTACAGGAATCTAAGAACTGGAGTCATGAGTTGTGTCTTCTTGTTTTTTGTCCGTTTTCCAGCAGAAGTCTTTTGCATCCACTGAAAGTTCATCACATACAGATGGAAAAATCCCTTAGAAATCATAGTTTATCTCCTGTTAAACAAGCAGCCCAGAGCTCTAACACACACAGAGAACTAAATTATACAAACACAGATTAATGTTTGTTTAAATACGGCTGGGTTAATAGATTCAGTCTGCTTTGTGTCCACCATTTCTCTAAGTGGACGCTGGAGCAGCAGAAGATGTCCTGTGTTTTCTGAAGTGAAGCTATAAATATCACACAGTAAAAATACTGCACAAGAAAAAGTCCTGCATTCAGTTGTTTACTTAAAAAAATGAAATAAAGACAGAAAATTACAAAATAAAGTAGTGTTAACTCTGTTTTTAATTCATCATCAACAATCTTTAGTTAGATTTTAAGTTTTTATAGTTGTCCATGTTGGTTTTTTGTGGATTTAGGATTTCTTGCAGCTTTATTCTCTGTCAAAATGACAAAATAATCAGTCAGACTTGTAGCTGAAGTTTCAAACAAACGAACCTGAATGCGTGAAACTCTACAAAAACAACAAAAATGAACCCAAACTCCTCTGATTCAGAAAACATGCCTGACTTTTGCAGTACCGTCAAGTAAAATACCTCAGTTTTTCAACAAAAACTGAATATTTTGGAAAGGTCAAAGTGGAGTTTTTGGACAGGAAGCAGACTCAGAGCTACTGTAGTTAGCAGTAAATCTCCCTCAGCCCTGAGCACCCGAACCGCTCGCTGATAGCAGCTCCTGGACAGAGGACTGTGGGTTTAGATTCTTTTTTCCAAACTGGAAGTTTTTGTTGGAGCAGCTGTTAACAGCACGACCTTGTGAGTGTGTTTTTATGATCTGCTCGGGCAAAAGACATTCAGCCATCTGTTAAAACTGGACTGGGCTATATTTCTAGATTATAGTCTCACTTTATGTCACTTATGCTGATTACATTTTTAAACAGAATCTCCTGAGACGCTGTTATTGTTGTTCAACGCTGTGTAACGTTGTTTTGCAGGCTGAATGAGCTGCATTAATGGAGGTTTGTTTATTTTTGTGTCCACAGAACTGGCATGAAGTGGTGAACAAGGCCAACGAGCACATGACTCACAGCGTGGTGTCGGTCAAAGTCACCTCGGACGTCAGCGCTCAGTGCAACGCTTCCAACAACATGGGCACCGAGGTGAAGGCGTTCAGCATCAAAGCCAGTAAGAGTCTGTTCTGGATGTTTTCATGTCACTAACACTCACTTTCAAACAGTAATCTGAAAAATTCCTCACTTATGTCGCAGCTTTTCTTTCGTCTTTTGGCCACGATAATTCCCGTTTTCATTCCAGTGTGACAGGACTGTTACAGAAAGTGCCACATACTCGCGCAGCGTTTGGCTTCTTGCTAATTAAAGGAGCAGCAGCGAGTTGAAACGTCATGATAAGAAGAGCGTCTCTGTTCTTCTCTCACACTCAGCACCACTAATGGAACTTATTTTGCTTTTGAAGCCTAAATTAATGAACGTCGTGAACTCGCCCTCAAATCCCTAAATACGTTTTTCTCATCAGTTTTAAAGACTTTAGCTGCCTGCTTTACTTTAACGTCAAAAAGTTGTGGAGCTCGTTTATTTCCCTTTTGCGCAATATTCATAATTTTAGTTTTTTTTAACTGCCAGTTGCGTGAATGAAACATTTAACAGAGGGAATTCACACAGAGGGCACTGGGATATGTTCTTTCTACTTTTTTCATTTTACTAAATCATGAGCCACAGCTCTCTGCACACACAGCCGACTTCATCTTAACCAGGTGATCAGGGATTATATTAACCTCAGCTTCACCACTCATCAGTGCATTAAGTTCAAAAAAGTCTGAATATTCAACATGAATAATAGTAGTACCAGTAACCACAGCTTAAGAGTGTGATACTGAGCAAAACCCGTGGAAAAAACCTGCACACCAGAGTACATATCAGTCATTTACAGTTTCTCTGTTAATTTTCAATTGTATTCTGTTAAAAATTGTATCCATAAATTTCAAATTTCAGCAAACAAGAACTAAACGAAACCCTCAGAGGACTGTTTTCAGTTTTGTTGGACACCATTAGGCAAAAATTGATGAGATTTTCTCTAATTAGGGCTTTGACTAGTTGTAAGAAGCAGTACGTATTCCTCATTATCGAAGGCTTCAGCTGCAAAATCCTTTACTGTTCGTGCTGCCTTCAAAGTGAACTTGTGATCACAAAATAAGAAGTTATGCACATCAGATTCCTGCTGCATGGCAACGTCAACATGAACGTTAAGGTCTGTGTCTAGAAGCCACAGAGGCTAACCGCTTAGCACGCTAACAAAAGCAGGCAGCTTAATGTAGGAAATGCAATGCCAATGGCAGAAAGAAAAGATGGGGCAGTTGGGAAATCAATATTTATCTGAAACATTATATAATAAGGAAGAAAAACTCTATACATCTATAATTACAATATATTGACTTAAATCTACTGATAAATTATTTATGAAAACATCAACAAACACGTCACAACTGGGAGCTCCAAGATAATTGCCACTTATGATCTTATGAAAACCACAGAAGAGTCCGTTCATGTGGCCTCTGCTTCTTTAACACAGTAAAACAACCTCAGTTGAAGGCAGCAATGAAACCAGAGAGAGACCAGATGATCACGTTTCACCCACCACCATGCACCGTAGCTCCGTCCTGTCACATCTGGTTAAAGCCAAAACGGACACTTTCACTTTCCCAACGTGTAGCTTTTTTTACTGTAATGCTGTGATTGTCAGGTATTTTACTTGCGAATGACTCCATAAAATGACACAATGTCTTATTTGTGGTCCTCATCGCAGGTTCTGATGGTAAAATTATCTTATATTTCACATAAACAGACCAAAACAATTAGAGAAAAGTTAAAAACAACACACATTCCTTCTCCTTTTAATCATTCTGTGACTCCTCTGCAGCTGCTGCTTTAGGAGCCAGATGAAGGTAGAGCTAAAAAGTTTGGAGATTTATCGATTTGATAAGTAAAAAAGCATAATTTTTCAAAAATATTTTCCAAAACTTATCTTATTCCAGCCACTTATATCCCATACTGGACTTTGAGATTTGGACAGTTTTTCAGATAAAGTGAGACATTTCGTGAGAAAGTGTTAAAAGGTACATTTCTAGATGTTTTTGACAATTAACCCTCTGAACCCAAAAATCTGCAGACGAGTTTGAAAATCGTGGTGTCTTTAAGAACAAATTTGCCAAAATGGCACAGTTTATGACAATCAGAAACTATAAAAACAGCAAAAAATAATTAGATATTTAACCAGAATTGCTCCATTCTAATGTCATTTAATAGTTTGCCGAACATATTTAGCTGGCTCAAACGAAATTGTGTAAAAAAATAAAAATTCTACATTTCTTAGTGCAACGATGATGTCAGTATTGACACAGCTGTGACCAACAATCACATGACAAAAATTCAGAATCCTTTCGGCTTGACTGGGATGAACTGCAGACGGTGTTTATACAGAGTAGAGAGGAGACAAGTATGGAAGCAAATGAAAATGTGCCTAATATGAAAAACATTAGTATTTGTAGTATTTAAAGCATTGATAACACATGTGGGCACTTGGATTAATGTCCAGTCCAAGTTTTTTGGGGGTTTTTTTGTAATATGTACAAAATGCAGGACTTCATTTTGCAGTGAAAATTGAGGTCACAGTGAGTAAAAATGTGGTGGAAGCAAAGAAACTGCTTGGGGTTCAGAGGGTTAACAGACCACAGTTTAATCTAAATATTAATAATCAGCAGATTAATTGATAATGAAAGTGCTTGATAAGTATTGGAGTCCCTAGATGAGGCCAGCATTGTTGAGTTTTCTGTTTCAAAGATCTTTGAAGACCTTGTGTTCGTCACTACGGATGGAGCTGCGTTTCCTTCACACCTCCAGAGGAATATTTGGGGGATTGTTAGAAATTATTGAGCAGCTGAGGTGGAATAAACTCTGAGAGTGTGTGTGTGTTTTGTGGGTTAATGTTGGTGGACATGGACAGCTACCCGCTCTAAGTGTTGTTCTACTTGTTCACAGTTCCCAGGGTCACCACGACCGCTCCCTTCTCTCCTGGTAAGATTATCGCCCTCCAGTCTCTTCTTGTTAAAGACGCCTCTTTTCCCTTTCGCTCTTCCAGCTCAAAGACTGTCTTCTGTGTCAGTGTTCACGCTTTCCACTCGGTTCTCTGTGTGACAATGAAGGGTTGGAGGAGGCCATACATTATTTATCACGTCTACACAGGGACTGTACACCAGGACTGTCTTTGGTTTGCTGGCAGATCTTTGGGATGGCCTGCGGGCACATTAAATATTCTGTCTGATATACAGTGAAAAGGCGAAAACAGCAGCAAATTCAGGCACAACAGCAGCTGAAGTGATGCTCAGACCAAACACTCTGCACTGCTAGAAACACTATTTGTTTAACCCAGAATTTTTTAAAGCAAATAAAAATACGTTACAGAACACGATCGCTGTCTCGCTTTTACGCACTTTTCCAGACAGTCCCTGTGTTTTATAGTGGATTTGTACATACCAGGAACATTTTCAGTTAATTACGGAGAGGGGCATTATTATGGGGCAATTTTCTGATTTTGTCTGAGCCGTCACTTCATGCCATTAAATCTTCACAGGCCTGTGGGGAATACATGGCTACCCATAAAACACAGCGAAAAAGTGTGAAGTGTATCTAGAGTAGAGAGCTAACGAGGAGAACTTGGGTTGCTTCGCTAATTATTGACTGGTTTTTAGGAGCTCTGGTTATCACACGGCCTGTTTGACCGGACTAAAACCACTTGTGAAGTCAATCAGGGTTTAAGCTTCCTACAGGCAGTTAACAAGGAGCTGAAGATCTGTTTTCCAGAATGAATCACGTCACTGACAGCACCACAAAACACTAATGTGGATATTTCATTGGAGGAAAAGCAAATAAAAGTCAGACAATGGTGCAACTTGAGGGGGAAAGGCTACATCCACGCTAATATGTTTTTATTTTAACCTTCTGAACTCCAAAGCCTGCTGGTGGGTTTGACAGACAAGTTATCTTTTTTTAAAATTGTTCAAATTACACCACTAATTGGAGCTAGAAACTGTCCAGACAAATACATTTGTTGGATTTGTGACATGCAATTCTGTTAAGAAAATTAACAAAATCAAAGCTTAAATTTGTGACATTTAATCCAAATCACTTTATTCTGTGTTGCAGTTTTGTTTTGTTTTATTAATTTCAAAAATACCTTTAAAAACAATAAAATATTAACTAAATTCTGTAAAATAAAATGTTTTGCAGTCTCAGGCAATTAAGAAGCTGCAACTTAAAAACTTAAATATATATTTTTTTAAAATTGGGGGGTGCAGAACTGTATGAACTTTAAAACCCACCAGTTGGTTTGCAAGACGTGTTATGTTTTGAAAATTACAACATTTATCAGAGCCAAAAACTGTATAAAAAATAAATAAATAAAAAAAAAAAAAAGGAAAAAAGAAAGAAAGAAAGTTTAAATTTTCCAACAGTCCTTGAACTACTCATCCTTGATGTGCTGCTCCTTTGGTGAACTTCACCTAGTCTATAAGCTTAAAATCACAATATAAAATGATAAATATACCATTTGCTGTGACATAACTCTTCTAATTCTTCTCATTGGAACCATGAAGCCATCAGAGACTCACTTGTGACCAACAGTAAAGCAGGACGTGTTCACACAGAGCAGAGAGGAGACGAGTATGAAAGCAAAATAAAAATGTAAATAATGAAGTATCCATAATATGTAGAGACACCGTTTTATTCCAATTTTGGTAACACCTGTGGGCACTTGTTGATTTCATGTTTAAACGTAGCTTTAAAATGAAAACGTATCAGTGTGGATGTAGTCTAAAGGTGAAATGTTAAATTCATGTTTTTTTAAAACTAATGTGATACATTTTGGTCCAGATCCAGACTTCAAAAACAGTTCTGACTTCTGTGCCAAGGTTTCACACTAATTGTACATTTAGTCCGGGCTGAGGGGGTCATGAGTTTTAGATCTGAGCTATTTGATCTGTGACATCAAAGACTTCCGCTCGCTGTCTAACTTGCAAGAACACATTTATTCGAGACGTTTCAGTGAAGAATGTGGCTGGTTGCAGAGCTACAGTCGCTCCCTCCTTAAGACGGCTTCTGTTTTTTTAACAAACCAGTGGCCTGATGGAGATCTGCCACTGAAACAGTGTGAATAAAGGTAGTTTTTGCAAGATAGACAGTGTTGAGGAGTTTGTTTTCTACACACCTGTCACATGAAATAGATGTGAGAAGAATTTCTTTGTCGACATGAAAGATCTGCAAAAATAAGTCGCACCGTAAAGCTTCTCAGTCAAGTCTGGAGAAATGTTGGATGGAGTTTGTGGCAGTTTCTTGGTGGAGTGATCTAAATATTGATAAATATTTAGATATTTTAGACCCTGTGGATTGATAATTCACGATGTTACACCATCACACCATTAATACTAGGTTGTTCTTGTTCCTTAAATTGATCTGGACAAACTGTTTAAGCGGGAGGATAATAGATTAATTGTATGTGTAATTTTCAGAGAAGCCACATTTTAAAAAGGAGTTTCTTTCAATTGTTCTCTGTTCATGTCTTTGTGTTCTGACTCTTTATTATTATGGTTGAAAATGCCAAACTGAGTGTAAAAGAAGGTTCCAGCTGTTCAAACAGCCAAATAGTCTCTATTTTTCTTTCAAAGAAGCAATTAAGTGACTTGTTTTAACAAACACAAACAGCCACCGTCCATTTTTCTCTGTTCTGTTTCTTGTTTTTTCTGTTTCTGTTTCTTCTGCAGGTATTTTATTTGCTTTTCACCAAACTTTTCACGACAGACACATGCAGCGCTTTTACAGACAGACTGGTTATTCCTGGTTTTGATCATATTTGAGGGGAAAAGTGTTTACACTAAAGCAAAGAGAAATCTGGAGGAAATCAGCACCGAGGAGGTGGAACAGTCTGGAAACTTTGATTAATACAATATAATGTGTCAGCTCCCTGCAGCAGACATCAGCGTGGGATTAAAACTGACAGTGTTGCGTCTGAGATGCTGTAATCGTGGACTTTTAGTAGCGAGTCATTTTTCCTGTCATCACTTACACACTTGCTCGCTGCTAGTTTGACAGTAAACTGACTCCGTGGGCCGATAGTGGCAGTTTACCACATTAGCCGCTGCTGTGTTCAGTCTGGCAGCGCGTCATTATCACAAACAAGCTGTGAATGCACAAACTAAAGCGGCAAACTGAAAGCTTTGACTGTGTGATGTAGAGAAAAAGTTGTCTGGGATGCAGGAACGACAGAAAAACCATCAGGCGTTACAAGTGAAAAGGAAGTAAAAGGTTCAAAACTTGATGAAGATGAATATAAGAACATGAAAGCATCTCTAGACTATAACAGAAACAGAACTTTATAGTAGGTTGCAGAAAATGTTCCTTTGCAATATTGGTATTGTTCCCACCAGTGTTTGGCGTCCTACAAACTGTTCCAACAGACGACAAAGTTAAAGTGCAGCTCCTTTACATTCTGGACGGATAATGTGATTCAAATGAAGTCAGTCATTAGAGCTTCGGGTCACAGATGCTGAGCAAAATAAATGACATTTTTAATGCAGTCCTGCTGCACTGCCGCATCCTCTGCCAGTTAAACGACAGAAACAGACATAATTTCACGCTCGGCGAATTATTTCTTATGCATAAGGAAAAAGAAGTTTTGCTAAATAAGCCACTTAGTAGCAAAGTAGTTTGAATAATGCAGGTTGTAAGTGTACAACATGTGTTTGTCGCTGTTTTTTTTTTTTTTTTTAAGTTAGTTGTTAAACAGTTATTTAGGATTAAATTTCCATAAAGTTGGGAGTCTAGGAAGAGATATTAAAGAAAGTTGTAGCATCTGATGTGGAAATACTCAGATTTTTAGTCTTTAGTTGGGGTTGATCAACCAAAAAACACTAAATCTACACTTCAGTGGTTCAGAGTTCACACCACCACACCTGTAACACAGCGTTTCTGTTCTGATTTTATGTCTTTTTGGATGAAGCTCCTTCAGAAGACTGACGTTGTTTGCGTAAAACTGATGAAGTGCCTCTTTAGAAATACACTGAATGCAACGTGTCCATCTGTGTGTTCAGGTGAAGGTGACCTTGTTTTCAGTGGACGTTGAAGCTCTAAACAGAAACTTTGATTTCATTAACGTCTTTGAATTGATTTCAGTCGTTCACGCTGATCAGCCACAACATTAAAACCAGCTGCCCAATATTGTGTAGGTTCCCCTGGTGCTGCTAAAGCATGAACACAGGACTTCTGAAGGTGATCTGTGGTTGAGTTTGAGACCTCCACAGACCAGGCTTGTTCCAGCACATCCCACAGATGCTCAATCAGATTAAGATCTGAAGTTTGGAGGCTGCAACAACAACTTTGTCATGTTCTTAGTTCCTGAGCAGTTTTTGAACGAATGCCAGGACTCAAAGTTTACCAGCAGAACTTTGCATTATGACAAAAGAATCAGCGTTTTTCACTTCACCTGTCAGTGGTTTTCATGTTGTGGCTGGTCGGCTTGTGTAACTGTCCAGCCGAAGCTTTTCCTGCAACCGCCTCCCTCGTCTGTGGCCGCCAATGCTGTTAAATATCGCTCGTGTCGGGGTCGCAGCTCCGAGTTGTGTGTGTTGCATCGACACCTAACGTGTAACCGATCTCTCTCTGCCTGTGTTTGTTTGTGCAGCTGAGGGCAGCGGGGTGATCATAGTGGTGATCATACTGTGTCTCCTGCTGCTGGCCTTCCTCGGCAGCGTCATCTACTTCCTGCATAAGAAGGGGAAGATTCCCTGCGGACGCTCAGGCAAGCAGGAGATGTGAGTGCTGCCTCCCATTAAGCATCATGACGTCCACAGAACAACAACAGTTAATTATTTGTATTTATCACCAACAGGCCAAGACTCAAACAAACAATGAACTGATCCACTAACAGGTGTTATCTGTGTTTCCAGAGACACTGTTTTATTATGTTCAGAGACTAATTCATTGTTAATTTAAGTCTGATTATTTTAAAAACATGGACTTCTATCAGCCTTATGTCGTAACCCTCTGAACTCCAAGCAGTTCATGGGTGTTTTGTTTTGTTTCTTTTTGCTCCTGTCTCATTTTTACTCAATGTGGGCTCATTTTTAACTGCAATATAAAGTCCTGACCTTTAAGAAAACAGCAACTATGAACAGAAGCAGACAGAACTTTAAAATGTCTTTGGTGCAGTAAGTTATGGTGACATAAATCATAGAAAGTTGAATTTCTTTCATTATTTATTTTTTAATTTAGGAAATAAACTTGGAATCTACATATATAACATTTTTTCCGAGTGCCCACAGGTGCTAGCAACACTGGAACAAAAAAGTAGCTTTCCATACTATAGATATTTAACTTTTTACATTCTTCATTTGTTTCCCCACTTGTCTCCTCTCTGCTCTTTTTAGAAACAGCCGCCAGTTCAGCAGAAAAATCCCTGATTTTTTTCAAGTGATTGTTGTTCACAGCTGAGTAAAAAACAGCTTCACTGTTGCACAGAGGAGCTGAGAATTTTTAGTTTTTTATAGAATCTGGTCAGAGCAAACGGTTCATTTTTGGCAACTTTTAAATGACATGTAGAATAAAGTGATCAAACATCACAATTTTAAGCTTAAAACTGGCTATTTTACCCAACAAAGCCAAAAGTCACTCATTATTAGTTATAGGATGGTGGATTCTTTCTGTTTTTATACTTTTTGACTTGATAAATGGTGTGATCTAGAAAGACGTCATGCCTTGCCACCCGCTGACAGGTTTCAGGGGTTCAGACGGTTAAACTTTAACTCGTGTTAATTATGTCTTTTGTCATCGTCGCTGCCGTTACCTGGTCTGTGTCAGAGTGCACATGTGAGAACTCTTGTTTCTGTCAGCAGCACCAAAGAGAAGACCACCAAAGATGACATTGTTGTGGAGATGAAGACCAACACAAAGAACGAGGAAGCTGTCCTCCTAAAGGCCGTCAACGGAGACAAAAAGGGCCCTAATGACCAGGTAACTCTAGTGCTGGAGGGAAAGGACTCAAAGACCCACTAGCGCCCCCCGGAGGCTTCGTCCTTCACCACTGCTAAGTTTATCCTGAGGGAGGTTTGGGAAAAAGCCGACGGAGAGTGGAAGTAAAAAGATGCAGAGCTGGCTGAGTTGCGTGAACGTTGTATTTACAGTAGCTTCACAGGCGCTGTTTGGATACGTAATGAATGTGGGCTAATAGCTGCGGCTTTAGCATCAATTATTTAATGATTATAAACAAACCTAGAAGCTCGCAGCAAGCACATCCTGACCATGTGAGGGTGTTAATGTGATCAGAGTTTTAATACCAAAGTGTTAAAGGGATAGTCGGTTGTTTCAGTAACATCTGCTGCTCTTTAATGCTGTTTTACTGATTGGTTGGTTCATGTGTTTTCAATGGCTGCTGCTTGAAGCTAGTTTGTAGAGTAAACACGAGAATGATGGTTTTTAATTACTTTTCACTGAGCTACTTAGGTCATCCTGTTGTTTTGCACTATAACTGTTCATTCAATGTCGTGTTTCATTTCATCCACAACAGAGAACACTGATGTATATTAATGCCATAATGTGTAAAAGTTTAATGTGATTACAGCATCTTTCAAGTTTATTCTAATGGGATAAGATTGAGTCCTTGTGGAGATCAGTGCAGCCTTTATACTGGCAGGTGTCATTTTAACATTTGAGTTTTGCTGAGAGTTATATGAGGTCAATATGACTCGTGTCTAAGTTTGTAGCTGAATCAAGTAGGAAGTTACCTTAGCATGAAGACAGGAAACTAACATCATGTTCATTCATTAGAAAAGCTGATGATTTTAAGCAGATTTAGTTACCTTTGACATGCAGTATTAATCTTTTAATCTCAAACTGTTCCTCAACCCATCTGAATTTAACTGGTGAGCGTGAAGGGCCTGTGGTATTCAGCAAAATGACACCATCAACGAGCGCCAGAAACTGCAAAAACAGAAGAAAAAAAAACAAACTCATTAGATTTTTAACTTTCCTGCCTCCTTGAACTTCCTCACTTGAACATGTGGTTTCCTCCGGAGCTTAAAATCCTGATATTTAATCTAAATCACTTTAATCTGCATGTCTCATTTAAGAATTTGCCAAAAAAAATAAACTGTTTGCTTTAAGCAGATTCTGGAAAAAAGCTAATAAAAAATGAGCTGTTTCTGAGGGCGACCAAGAAGTCATTTGTTACAGCCACGAACAGTCACATGACACAAACTCAGGGACTTTTAGCTGGACTGCAGTCGGTGTTTATACTGAAAGGCAAACAGGAGACAAGTAAAGAAATTAAGTTAAAAATGTTATCTGCAGTATTGAGACACACTGTTGTTGTTTTTTCCAGTACTGGTAACACCTGTGGACATTTGGAACATTTTTGTACAGCATTAATCAAAGAAATTCATCTTTTTTTATGAATTATGGCATCATAAATGTGTCATAGTGCAAAAAGGACATTCTTGAGTTCTGTCTACTTGGAGTCATGGTGGTTCTGTTTCCATAGAGGTGCAGGACTTTATGCTGCAGTAAAAAATGAGCCCACAGTGAGTACAAATGTGACAGGAGTCAAAAATGTCCAGGAGGACTTCAGAGGATTAAATATTACATCCATAATAAAAGCATCAGCATCAGTTAAAAATATCAATTGAGAAATGGCTTAATTGCAACTTGGTATTCTGTTTTTGAGCTTTTTGTTGTCGTTTCCATCAGCTGTGATAACGTTGCCGTCACCAGTAGAATCTGGGAACTTTGCAGCTTTGTTTGAGCGAAGGTTAAAACCTGAGCAGTGAATCAGGCTGTAAACGTGCTGACAGGGCAGCCGGATGATTTAAACCCTTTCGGTGGTAAAACTAAAAGCTGCTGCTAATAATCCCTCATTGCACAGACGAACCGGGTGTTCACTCTGAGGTCAGAGATGAAACAGGAGCCGGTCTGTAAATTCTGTTTACAGCAGACGTCCTAATGATGACTTCACTCCAGATAAGTCTGACCAACCTGGAGCTTTATTTACTGCTGCTTTGATCCCGTCCTGTCAGAATATTACTGATGGCTTTCTTCTCTGTTCGTCTTATTATTACTGAAAGAAACGATGGACAAAACTGCAAAACCGTAGCTGTAATTGCTGTTCTGCTGTGAGAGCTTTCACAGTACGTATGGCAGCTACATGGCCCTGAAGTTATGCTTGAGGTGAACCTCTTGAAAATGTCAGCGCTGCAGCAGCTATGGAGATGCATGTGGAGACCGCAGGAATTAATTGGTCTGCAGGGGCTGCTTTTATGTCCTACAGACAAGCAGCATGTGAAGCATGTTGGATAAAGGTTTTGTTATTGTCTCTTTTCCAGTAACACACATCTAACAAGAACGCCTTCTTTAAAATCTCTCTGCTGTCATTGTTCCTGACACTACATCGTGGATTTTCCCACTGTAAATGCAAGAATGTTAACGGTTAATTAAAGCATGATTCAGCCTGAGAAATCTGATGTTGGTCCACGAATCTAAAAGTAATCCTCCAGACTCCTGTTAGCCCCTTTAGTCAGCCACAAATCCAGCTTAACCCTCTGAACCACAAGCAGTTTCTGGGCGTTTCTTTGCTCCCGTCACATTTTTATTCACTGTTTCACTGCAATGTAAAGTCCTGCACCTCCATGGAAGCAGCACAACCATGACCAGAAGCAGAGAGAACTAGAAAATGTATTTTCTGCAGAATGACACAGTTACAGGAGCATAAGTCATGAAAATTGGAGGAAAGTTTGATTTCTTTATTTGTTAATATTACAAAAAATGATAAAAACCTGGAATCAACGTGTACATCGGTTTTCCAACTGCCCACAGGTGTTACCAGTACTGTCAAAAATGTTGTAAAAGTTGTAAAAATATTTGTACAACTAACAATTTGAATTTATCCACATTCACGCTGCATTTAAGCTGAATAATTCCTGAAGCTTTGGGCAGAACCTGAGCAGGGCAGATGTTTTTTCAAATGACATGTAGAATGAAATGATTTTGATGAAATGTCACAATTGTAAACTTTGATTTCTTCATGTTTTTGATAGAAGAGCACAGCAGAGATAAGTAGTTCAAGGACTGTCAGAAACTTTACAATTCTTAGTTTTTTCTGATTCTAGCTACATGATGTAAATTTTCAAACATAACATGCTTTGCAAACCCACTGCGGTGTTTTGTGCATTTTGCAGTCATGCAATTTGTTGATTTTTTTTTTTATTTTTGTGTTTTACAAAAAAAAAATTAAAGGACTCAAAGCAGCATTTTCAAAAAGGTGACTCTACATATTATGGATATTTTACTACTTACATTTTGAATTTGTTTCCATACTTGGGTCTCCTCTCTGCTCTGTGTAAACACTGTGTAGCTGTGAAGTTAAGCTTAGATTAAGCTTAAAACTGAAAATGTACATAAGGTAGTATCTTTTTTGAACCCTGTCAGAAGGTTTTGATGTAAAACAGATGTTAACAGCCAAGTTACACCTGGATTTTCCTTTGTCACGTTCAGTGATTATAGCTAGAATAAAGTACAGGATTGATTTTAAGGCTCATTTGTTTGTTTTTAGAACTATACATGGATTGGCACCCAGCTTTGGGCAGTTCTGATGGATAGATAACTTATTCATCCTCTTGGGGAAATTCAGGGTAGCTCACATGTGTTAGATTTAAGAAAAATAAGGAAACCAATGTGCAAAAGATTGTGCGATTAACACACAACGTGCTGGTCGAAAAAATACGGTGCAAAAATTGCTGGTATTTACAATAAAGATGCGAGTGTCAAAAAGAGTCGGATTAGGAGAATTAAAAAGTCTAGGAATAGTATAAAAATAGAAATAATATTAATAAGCACATGCTCTGCGATTAAAAAAAAAAATTGTTTTCCTAATTTTTTCTATTTTATTCATTTTGTTTTAAACTCCAGTCTTATGGCTTTTTATCCTCTTTTATTATTCTATACAATTTAATTATCTTTTACAAATTGATTGCTTTTGCTCTTGTTTTCGTCGCTGCGTGAACATGTGCAGCACTCAGGCTGTTTTTAAACATGTTCATATGAATAAACTTGGCTTTATTTAAGTATATCTATGTGTGGTCAGTGTACATATCTGTTTGTATGATGCTAACGGTCTCCTCTGTCTCCTCAGTAAAGCCCCCGACGGTTCAGCAGTGATGTTGTGCAGCAGACAGCAGCAGGACACGTGAAGGCAGCGGTCAGAGAGGGTCGGAGACGCTGCCACTGATCTGAGAGCTGCCGGGCAACACCACCTCACCGTCTGGACATTCCACCATCATGCTTCGTTCTCGGCAGTATTCAGTAGATTTAAACACACACACTCTCTCTCACACTCACACCAGTATGTATGTACAGATTTCCTTTCGAACAAATGTTTTTCTTTCTTCTCATTTGTTTTGTACTATTTCCTCAAACTGTGTTCAGCTCTTGGCTGTTGTTCGGTGTGTTTGACGGTGTCTCACAAGCACCATCGTTTTGTTTTTTTTTTTCTTAATGAAAGTGTATATATTATATATATTTTGTTATTTAAGATATTTTGGCACTCAGATTTTCATTTCATGGCAGTGTCTGGGTCGTGTGCATGTTGATCCGTGTTCATGGGTCCAGGTGAGTTTTAAGACCAAATGCGAGTTTCTTAACAGATGGTTCATTCTGAGAGGAGGTTTGTCAGTGTGTTTGCTCTGATTTGATGCCAATATTTGTAGAAATCGATGTTGAAATTTGCCAAAAAAAAAAACAATGCATATTGAAGTTTTTCCTCCAGAATCCGCGTTTGTTTGGTTGTTTGATCATCAGGAGACACTAAAGCTGCAGGATAATCAGAGCAGTAGTAATCTGTAAAACACACCGACACACTGGCGGCTTTTCTTTTGCAAACTGCTGTCGAGCCCTTGTACTGTTTGTAAATACGTGTAGTGTACAGACCTGCTAGCGGAGGCCTCGGACTGTTACTGAAGGCGAAAAAGGTCAAAGGTTTAGTGATCTGCTGTGCCTGTTTTTTGAGAATGCATCATACACTGAAGTTGTTTTATCTGTTGGTTTGCTCTGTGTTTCCTTTGTGTTTCCACTGAGAGCTGGTGGCCTGAAGAAGAAGCGAACCAGTGTTGCTGCAGGTTTGACATGTTTGTGGATCACACACGGTGCAGGATGCAGGTTTTTAGGTTTATTTCCCTTTAGGCGGCCAGAAGTTTTTATACAGCTTGAAAAACCAGCTTGCAAGGACTTAAAACATGTTAGAACGTTTAGTTTTCTCATCAAAGTAACAGCAGGGTTACCTTGAAACTATCATAACGATAAGAAATAGACACAAAAATGCAATTTTAAGACATTTTTTAAATCAAATAAATGTAAAGCAGTGTGTATTTGTCATTTTATCACTGCATTTAAGCCACAGAGAAGCAGTTTATTTGGATAAAGAGAAATTCCTGATGATCTTTGAGAAACTCAGGAAGGTTTTCAGTCACATATAACATAATAAAGCTCTCCTCACTGTCAAAAACACAACCCAGAAATGACTTAGTGCCTAAGTTTGCCTCATTTGTAGGATGCAACCCAGCATATATCAGTTCAATCGTCAGTAGCATCTTTATATTTATGCTTGTTTGATGCCAAACAAGCGAGGTGATGCAGAAAATCCAGTCACATGTTGGAAAGTGGGTTAAAAAGTCTTTTATACTGAGCAGCAGATTGGGTTTTTTTTTTTTTTTCAAATCTTAAAAGAGTCTTTAAGGATTGTTGAAATACCTTCAAATTAGCAGAAAGTGGTTTTTCATAACCTCGTGGGTTTTCCGAAGATTTACATTTCACTAAAGTGACTCAAATTCAATTATAATGGCAGCAGCACAAACTGGATCTTGTCACTCAGCCTCATAGCGAACCTGCCAAAACCTGCAAACACTGTGATTCTCCCTTTTAAAGGCCAGCGTTGTGAATATTTCTCACTGTGTACTTTTTTTTTGTGAAAAAGATATTTTTGTTTTGCTGAGAGCGCTACATTGCCCCGATGACTTGCAACATTAACCGAGTAGCGATAAGGTTTCCCTCTTTGGTTTGTGTTTTTTGTTTTGTTTTGGTTGAGATGTTGGAGTTTTAGATAAATCCAGGTTCAGGACGTCGTGAGGCAACAAGTGTGATGCTGTCATGTAGAGAAGCTGCACAAAGCCACAACAGCGACAATCTGCTGACATTTGCTTTAATGCAACTTTAATTTTCTCTGGATTTTTTTGTTTTTTTCATCAGTGGGCAAAACAAGTTTGAAACTGAACATTGCATTGTTTTTTTTCTAAATGTGTGTAAATTAAGTACCTGTACATGTGATTCTTTGATGCTTGCGTGTTTTTTTGTTTTTTTTTTATAATTTTTTTTGCAAGAAAATAATGCCAAATAAAAAAAAGTTTCATTTAAAGCGAGGCTGTTTCTATTTTTCCAGAGGTTTTTTGACAGAGTGGTGGAGCGAGAGCCTGAGGGTTTTAAACCCGAACCACAACAACTGTGAGTTCAGTGTGTTCGAGCTGCGCAGTCCCACAGCAAGAAGACAGGAAGGAGCTCAGCCTCCAAACCGCTGTCAGCACGAGCTGGAAATGACTCCGACAGTAGCTCAGGTTTCCAGCTGCAGTCTGGACAGAGGTGGGACAGAAAACACAGCTCACATCTGCAACGAATTCAGGCCCCGTTAGCTCATAGCTGCAAAACAAATCAGCCCATTCATTTGCTGCAAATCCTCCAAAGCTGCAGGTTACGACAACACGGTGATCTCTGAGATTAAACAGCTCACTTTTAAGAAAAAACACCGCAAGGCCAAATCGTTACCAGGTCTTTTTATTTCTGTCCTACATTTTCTCTGCTGCAGTCTGTGACTTTTTTTTAGTTTTTAGGAACACCCACTTGGAGGCGCTAAAGCCTGAAATTTCCACTTTTTATTGTTTATTAGGGTCCGAGCACCCAAAAGGGTGCAAAGACCCTATTGGAACTGCTCGGATTATTATTATTATTCGTGCCAAAGACACGCGTTTTTGAGGCCCTAAACATACTCGAAAACTCACCAAAATTGCCATGTACATCAGACCCGGTGAAAAATTTTATAATTTGGAAGAACAATACACAC